TATTCTCTGGTATTTAGATGGTAAAGGGATCCCTTTTCTCATAAGTAAGCCTTTAGAAAATATAACTTCTGGAGAAATTTTAATGTTTGTAAATTAATCAGGAGGATGACCAAAGTAGCAAAACAATTTAGAGAGACTTTCTGCAGAAGTACAGATAATGAGATCTTATTTTAACTTGGCTCTGTTACTGACTACTTTGCAATACTGAAATGTTGACCTAACTTTTGGATACTTTTGTTTTCTACATAGACCTGAAAGAGTATTGTCCTAACTCTTAAGCATTTTGCAAGAACTGAGGGGAAAGGTCAAGGTTTTTGGTATTAAAAATGATCTGTAGTCATTTGAATTGGAATGGCAAATAATTAACATTTACACTGTGTTAGATTTTTTTTGTTGCTGTGACCAAAATACCTGAAAGAACAACTTAGAATAGAAAATGTTTATTTACGCTAATGGTTTCAAGGGTCGCAGTGGAGTGATCCTGACTCCATTGTTGTAGCCCTGAGATGAGGCTGAACATCATGGCTGAAGGCCATGGTAGAGAAATGCTGCTCAGCTCATGGTGAGCAGGACACAGCAAGAGCAAGGGAGGCTGTAGCAATGAAATATAAACCCCAAAGTCACACCCGTCCAGACACACCCTTGTTCCTGTGGCCACACCCTATCTGTCTACATTCTTCACCCAGATAGTTCTTTCAAAATATAAACAAATGAAATGGATTAATCTGCTGATTAGGTTACATCTCTCATAAAATAATCTTCTCACCACCTGCATTAACAGGACTTCAGGGGGATTCCTCATATCCAAGCCATAACACCCCCAAATAACAATTTGGAACTTTTATTTTGGCTGTGGTCACTTAACCTGTACATTGAGTCCTGGGGAAATGAAAACAAAGCAGTCTTTACTTACTAACTTAATATTTCACTGTCATGAATCCACATATCATCTTGTTTACTTTTGTACACTTGGACTTGCCTGGTAAATACAAGCTGCTAAAACATTTTGATAAGCTGGGTAGATTTTTTTTGTAATGACTTTCAATGATAATTGTTTCCCCTCTCTCTCCTCATGGGCTAGTCTTTTTGTCTCAATGAGACGGTTTACTTAGAACTGCTCACCCATGTGTGCAGCTATCACTTTGTCTCCAGAGGTCTCTGGTGTGTTTAGTTGTTGAGAATTACTGGTGGCCACCATTATTTAGTATGTACAGAAAGACATTCTTGCAGCCTGTGCTGGACTATGGAATTTAGTGAAAGCCATTATTCCAGAATCTTTACTGAGACCCTGTGTTTAATCCACAGATTCAAAATGATCAGTGCCAGGAGATGGATACCACCACAGACAAGTGGGTAAAACTCACTGACAATGGAGAATGGGGCTCTCATTCTGTAAGTCTCTTTGTTTTTCCTTCTTCTTTTCTATTAATCCCATTCTCCTCCTTCCTTTTCCAGTCTTTTCTAAGCATTCATTTTAAGAAAAGGAAAATAAATTTTTTTTTATTAATTAAGATAATTTCCATTTAGGGAAGAAATTTCTCCTAAGTTTCATCAACTCATATTTTTTTTTATTTTTTAGGTTATATTTTCCTACATTTTCTTCTCTCCTTATATTTCTTTCTTTTTCTGTTCCCATCATATTTCAACTTTCTTCCTTTTTCAAGAAAGAAGTCTATTCAAAACCAATATACAAAATTGACAAAATCTAAAGTATATAAATTTTAAAATGTGCCTGTTTCACACAATATGATCATCGTCACTTGTCATTGAAAAGATCTTTGAATTCCTTTCATCTGACCTTCTCTTCAGTGTCCCCTGCAAGTGATTTTCAAGCTTGTTTTGTTGGGCACTGTGCTTTCTTCCATTGTTGGACAGCTCTCTGATTTTCACAAAATTCATCCACATTGGGCTTCAACCTGCTTCATATGTATTTGCCTCCAGTGGTCAAATTCTACTCTTTCAGTTACATTAAGTATAGTAACTACCTATTTCTTCACAGGGCATCTCTTTAAATATTTGAAGGCAGGATTACCAGATATGTGATTTGGTGAATCTGTTATTACTTGAGGCACTTACCCTTTGGAGTATGGCAGTATTTAAAATCTATTTCTGGCTTATAGTTGTATTTCTTTGAGTGATTTGCTCAATCTCTTAGCATCTGATTTTTTTTTTCATTTCAGAAATGGGAGAAGTGTTGCTGAAATAAATGGGGTGATGTCTGGGAAGGGACTCACATAGTGTCTGTAATGTAGACTGAGTTATGTTTTAATGAATCCATTCTTGCCTTTTTGATTGTGGCAGTTGCCAAATCCTTGAATGATTAACACAGTGTACCCTTGCAGAGGTTTTCTTTTTATATGTATGTTTGAAAGTAATGTTGGTACCACTTAATATTCACTCATCTAAGCACCCAGTCAGCTGGGCTTTGAAAATACAGTAACCCTTGGCAACAGATATGCTCTCTTCACTTTTGATTACAAGTGGAAAGTACTGAATCCACTTACTTCTCTAGCTCTCGGGCCTGATGAAGTAGTTGGGTTGATTAATTTTACATAGCTTGAATTTGACCAGCCAAAAAGTGCATACAAAAATAAAAGTAGCAAAAGACAAAACAAGAAACCCTTAAAATTGGCTCATTTGCCTGTATCAGCATGAAACTTAACAGAATATTAGTTTAATTTATAATTAGAAAAATTTTCCAGTGGCAAAGGGATCAAATACTAGACATAGTGTCACTGAGGTTCAGTTAATTGTAAGAGTTAAGTTATTCTATAAGAACAGACCTATTTTATTGCTATTGCAGTGTTGTTTTAAAGTAATTTAAAAAGCAAGCTGTATTAAACTATTTCTATTGCTATAACAATATGCCCAAGATTGAGTACTTTATAAGGAAAAAAGGTTTATTTAGACTACAGTTTTAGAGGTTTCAGGGGCATGGTGGCAACATCTACTTGGCTTTTGTGGGGGCATAATGATCACAGGATAGTGATTTACAGGAAGCCAGAGATTCCAGGGGAGATCCAGGATTTCCCTTTCATAATGACTTAGTCTTGGAGGAACTAACTTGCTCTATGAAACAAGCAGTAATCTGTTTCTAGGACAGTGCTCCCAATGGTATAATTGCTTCCCACTTGCCCCACCTCTTAAAAGTTTCACTACCTCTTGACACCACCAAATTTCCAATGCATGAACCTTTAGGGGACACACTCAAGCCACATTCAGATCCTATACAAACCATAGCAGAAGCAAGCTTATTCTCTTGCTTGTTTGTTTTCAGAGCTTAAAGATGTACTTGTGAATGGCAGTCTATAAATATGCAAGTGGGCCGAGTGACTTTCACCCTTTACAATGAATCCTCTTTAAATATAAATATAAGACTTCATGTAATGGTTCGAAAGTTATTTTGTCTTTTTGTTCAGACTTGAAGGGTTCTTCTTGTTTCTTGGTATATTTTGTGGATTGGCAGACTATTTTATTTTTTAAAGAAAATGTTGTCTTCAGAGCTGAGGTCAGAATTAACTATAGGCTTAAATTTGTTGGTTTTAAATTAATTGTGTTTCCTTATAATGCATAGAAAAGTATGTGAGTGAGAAGCTTTTGTGTGTGATTGGAATTGGAAACAGCTTGGCTTATCTGACCTGAGTGTGTTGTTTTTTTTTTTTTTTGCACAGGTAATGCTGAAATCAGGCACAAACATACTGTACTGGAGAACTACAGGCATCCTTATGGGTTCTAAGGCTGTCAAGCCCGTCTTGGTGAAAAATATCACAATTGAAGGTATTTCACAGCATGCTGTTTTAGCAGTCATTTATCCAGTTTTATAGTTAAAATATTTATTTTAACCAGAACTGGCTGGCTCAAGGTGCATAGAATGAGAACTATATTAGGTATCATACAGGTCTAGAGACCCTGGTTTTAGTACTAGAAAATTCATTGATTCATAAGTTTACTTTTTCCTTATACCTTTGAACTGAATTATTTAATCTGTGTAAAGACGTAAACATGATGATGATTTTACATATCTGTAAATGAAGTTTCTCTCTTAATAGGAGACTATATTCATTCAATATCTACTGTGCCAGACTTTGAGCCTACTTGGGGAGTTAATAATCTGGTTACTGCTATATCCATAAAAATAATAATCTTGAAAACATCTCCACCAGACTGTTTCACTAAGCCTCTTGGGCCTCTCTGGACCATCTGGGTCATTTCTGGCCCAGGTGCACATCTAATAAACCCAACTATAGTTTATGCTCAACTAGAGGTACTTTTAATTAAAGTAGTGATTCTTCTTTATTAAAGTTTGGCTTATATTTTACTGTGTTCTAATTGTGTTTGTTCCGGTGATGTTAACTAATTAGTCACACAGACATCTGCTGGCCAACACTGGAATTACAAACTGGAAGACCAGCCATTTCTAGGATCTTATAGGTTTTATCTGTTACTTAATAAGTAGTGAAGAAAAAGGGAACAGGTCCCACAAAGAGCAGAGAATTGTAGGGGACCTTAGAGTTTAACCCATTCTGACATAGTATATTTGTATTTGATGAATCATTTAATATGTTTACTCTACTTCAATAAAAATTCTTAAGGGTTTGCTGTACTAATTGTGTTTGATTCAGTAGATATCCCAGTTCTTTGCTTTCTTAGTGATGAATTAATGAAATAAAAGGATTGGGTTGAGCTTACTATTGATATTTCCCTCTCATTTCTGTGTGGAATCAGTATGCAGGCACTGACTAACTTGCTGATGTGGGTCTTCCTTCCATGCCCTCTTTTTCATTTCCGCACAGGGGTGGCTTACACTTCAGAATGTTTTCCATGCAAGCCAGGGACATTCAGCAACAGGCCAGGTTCATTCAACTGCCAGGTGTGTCCCAGAAACACCTATTCTGAGAAAGGGGCCAAAGAATGCATAAGGTGTAAAGAGGATGCCCAGTTTTCAGGTAGGGCTGGCTTATACTCTCTCTTCTTTATAAGTTTATCTTGATCAGGTATACTGATCAAGTATACTGTCACAGGCTAGCAATGGTGGGTCAGATGTCAATGTGCTAAAGAGAATCAATATTGAATGGAGAAAGGCACATCTATCCTTTCATCTCAAGGTTGCCTCCTTAGCGCAGTAGGAAGCGCTTCAGTCTCATATCCTTTCATCTCTTTCTATGTGGGTTCTCCCCCTTTGTCTATGTTTTTCTTTCATTCCACACTCCATAGGTAAGAGCCATGGCTATGTTTATATCAATCTAACCCATGTTTTACTTTTAGATGATTTGTGGGCATAGATATATACTGAGAAACTTTTATTTTTTTTCCAAATTTCCAGTATTCAATGATAATGAACAAAACATAATGTCTCCTGGGAGTGCTATGATATGCTCCATGTATATCATGGATAGATTTATTACTCTAGAGAAAATTAAAATGTAGGCCTTTATTTTCTGTAGGTCTAGCTAATTCTACCTAAATTGCTTTGGTAAGATTACCTTTTATTTAACTTTTTTTTAATTTTGTTCTGATTTTTGCCTTTTCTTAGAGTCACAATGGACCATTTATGAATTTTGGGTTTTTTTTTTATGTATGCATGCATTGCAGAGGAAGGATCCAGTGAGTGCACGGAGCGCCCACCCTGTACCACAAAAGACTATTTCCAGATCCATACTCCATGTGATGAAGATGGAAAGGTATCAGCAGTGTTCAGAAAAATCTATCCCATATTTATCCAACTGTTTCCCTAATTTGGACACACTCCAATTTGTTCATGAGGGAGATTTTATAGAGGATTTCTGAGTTTAGGTGTTGGAGCCTGCCTTCCTGGCTTTCATTTCCAAATCTGTTACTTATTAGTTCTGTGGGTACATGATTGGATGCCTCTAAATCTCAGTTTTTTTCATCTGTAAAATGGGGTTGATATCAATACTGTGAGACTGCTATGAGAATACATGAGATATTCAGTATAAAGTTCCCAACCCAGTTCCTGGCATTTAGTGAGCCATGAATTAGTCCTATTTTTATTTTTTATTTTTTGGTACTAGGGATTGAACACAGGGGTGCTTTACCACTGAGCTACATCTCCAGTCCATTTTGATTTTTTATTTTTTAAAATTTTGAGACAGGGTCTCACTAAGTTGCTTAGGACCTCACTAAGTTGCTGAGGCTGGCCTCAAACTTAAGATCCTCCTGCCTCATCCTTCCCAGTTGCTGGGATTATAGACATGCACAACCACACCCAGCTGATGACTGCTATTTTTAACAGTTATATTTTTTTTCATAAGTAATGTCAGGAAGAAATCAGATTTCAAATGTGTATTACAACTCACTAGATGAAAATATCTTATAACTTCTATTTAATTATTTGGCTACTCATCGGTTGTATTAATAAAAGCTACGTAGATGACTCACCATTCTCATAATTAAATAATTAACGTATACAATCCCACGTCAGAAGAGAAACTGAGATTAAAGTGGCTGCTAGGTAATGTTTCTTACATATTTGTACCTTTGAAATAATGACATGTTTTAAACTTACTTTGGAAAACACACATAATTGTCAGAAGAATTATTCCTTCCCCCCCTTTAATTTTTCATTCCCAAGTTCTAATCTGTACTTTTTATATTTACATTGATTATCTTACCCTTAAATCTTTATTTTTTAAAAGGACTATTGTTTTGAATGCTTAAGACCAAATACATTCCAGTTTAGATTAGTGGAAACTTAAAATGGTAAGAAGTATAAATATCACTTTCAATTAGAACAGCCACTCAAACTAACAGCTGTTAATTGACAAGGAGTTGGAAAATAAGGTCTTGGTGGCCCTACACCAATGGCCAAGTAAGAGTGCTTACTACTAGTGGGCTGAAGAGTGATTTGGTACAGTATTTTTAGATGAACTTTTATTAGCTAAACCTAACAATAAGCCAGGCAAAGATAGTTTATTCTATGTAATCATTAATTCTGCATTACGGGGACTTGAATACATTCTAATATGCAAAAGGATTTTATCTGAGCTAACACAAAAAATATACAAAAGTCATATTTCCTATTTTAATAATGAGTACAGTGTCCATGATCAGCGTGACAAAATCTAGTTGCTGTGGGCCTAACAGAAGTAAGAGCATATGTGAATGTATTGTATGTAGAATGCACTCACACACACACTTGCCACTACATGCCCATGCATGTGAATTGTGTTTTCCCATTGAGTCTGGAGGAGCTCTAAACATGTTCTTTGTAGATTTTTATAGAACAAAATAGTTTACTAGAACTCTATAAATTCAGTGTTTTATTTTGTTTTGTTTTTAGAGAGACTTTAGATTTATTTTAAGATAAATGTTTCTGGCTTCAGAAGTAGACAGGAAAGCAGTGGCTACAGTGCTAATATACAGATACACACACACACACACACACACACACACACACACACATACACACACTGAGATTATGGAAGTGAATTCAGGATTTTTTCTATTTCTGTTTGTTCTAGCACTTTTATTTGTTCCAGTTTCATATTTTTAAAAGATATTCTGACTTTGCTGAGACCAGCCTAATGATTTGCCAGTAGTTTAAAGATACGTCACATGTTGTTCAACAAATATGTTTGGTTCTCTTTGTCCTGTGATGCTCTCTTTGACCTCTCTTTCCCCTTTCTTAGAGAAGATCATCAAATTGATTAAATAGGAAAGCAGCTGTTGAGGTATATATATTCTGAACTTAGAATTTATAGGATATACGTTTCTGTATTTATTTTTAATCTTATTTCAAAATAAATTGCTTTCTTCCTATAGAGGAAATTTTTTTTCAGAAAAATGCTAATAGGTAATTGGAGTTATTCTAATCTTGATGCTCTCATTAACATCCTAAACATGTGGAATGCCTACTCATTTATTTATTTAGTGAATCTATACTGAGCACTGGTTACACACAGAGTACTGGGTGATAAGGGCAGAGCTTAGGATAGAGAAAAATGTAGACATCTTCATAGATGTGGAGTTTTCTAACTTCAGTGTGCATCAGACTCACCTGGAGGGCTAAAATGCTTTTTTTGTGTTGCAAAAAGAGTGATTCTGTCAAGCACATAGAAAGCATATACTCTTAAATATCACGAGAAGGTCTAAAAAGATTTCCTGTCTATACTTGGAATTCCTACAGAATTTTGTGCATGCCTCTCTTGATACTTGGTAATCATTGGTTTGATAGAATTTTGAAATCAGATCACTATATTGCAAATTGACCATTTTCTCCACTGATCTCACAGCTTCCTATAGATAGAGAATGATTCTTACCCATTTAAAAAAACATCTCTAAACTAGTATAATAATAGCTGGCACATAGGAGGTAGTGATACATGTTAAACAAGTGAACGAGAGACTTAGTAAATAAATGGTAATTATGTTGATTACCACTTTGTGTATTACATTCTGTCCTTTGGATAAAGCTTGAGAAAATTTGACAAAATGGGCAAAATGTAGTGGAGAGAGGCCCGTATATTTTATATAAAATATGGTTGAAGAAGCTGGGGCTATTTCTTTTAATTGGGGAAAGACAGTGGGATGGAAGAATCATGTTCATCTTTGTGACATTTCTTACCTGTCTTGCAGAGATTTGGTCTTTCTCAGGGGATACCCATGACATTTGTATTCCTCTTAGAAATGATGATGATGACAATAATTATAGTAATAGTAATGATAGCATTACTACCAAAAGACACTATCACTATCATGTACATGTTTATGCATGTACTCTCTTCATATCTGTGTGTCCACACATTCAAACATTTCCTCTAGTTGTTTATTTCAACAGTTGTGCACTTTAAACATTATTATACCCAGTTTGTTGATGAGGAAACTGCACACTGAGGTGAAGTAACTTCCCTAATGTAACAGCTAGAAAGTCTTAAGGCTGGAACTCTCACCCAGATTGTTTTCAAATCTAGTGCTTTATATCCCCTTCATGCATTTTATTTTAGATATTATAGCAGTTTGTGAACCTTTCTCATCACTATTAGTCTATAGTCTCTTTTGGAGCAAACAACTTGTCTTATTAATATTTGAATGTCTCACTGTGCTTTGTTTTAATCTAGGTACAGAAAAAATTCCTAAATAGTTATTTTAAGCACACAAGGGAACTATTAGAAAGAAGAAATATACTTTTTAATGTTATTTCATGAGTCAAATTTTGGGCTAATCAGGTGATCTTACAGAAGGTAAGCTCCAGCCAAAGGTAATAGTGTTCTAAGAGGCATAGTTGCCCACTCCTAAAATAACATGTCTTGTCAAATAGGGAACTTTTTATAAGGGTAGAAAAGCTCTTGGTAGGGAAGGATGGTTTAGAAGGAAGCCTTCTTAGAGGAGGTGTTTTAGTCACCTTTTTTACTATTCTGATTAAGGGACCTGGTCAGAACAACTATGGATAAAGAAAAGTTTATGTGGGAGCTCAGTTTCAGAGGTCTCAGTCCAAAAGTGGCTGGCTCCATTCCTTGGGGCTCAAGGTGAGCAGGACATCATGGTGGAGATGTGAAGATCTCCATGAAGAGTGTGGTGGAGGCAAGCAGCTCACATGATGTTCAGAAAGCAGAGAGAGAGACTCCACTTGTCAGATTACAAAAAAATATATACTCCAAGACCATGCCCCCAATACCCATCTCCACCAGCCATACCCTACCCACCTTCAGTTTTATCACTCAGTTAATCCCCGTCAAGGGATTAATTCACTGATTGGGTTAAGGCTTTTGTAACCTAATCATTTCTTCTCTAAATCTTCATGCATTGTCTCACACATGAGCTTTTGGAAGACACCTTACATACAAACTATGTAGACATCATTTTGCATGAACAACTGCTTTACCTTTGAGTTCAGGAAGTTTGTGGATCATAAGTTGCTAGTATTTTTGAATCAATTTGCCTTGTACTTTCTTTCCTTTTTTGTGATATCAAAGATAGCACAAATTATTGCAAATGCCCAAATATCTATCTGTAACATAGTACTTCTGAATGATCCTGTAGAGATAAGTGTAAGAGATATTTTAAAAATAGGGTATAAAAGGTTATGAGTATTTGATCTGACTTTGTTTACATAGGATTTAAGCAAGTTAAATATACCTGGAGCCTACGTTGCTTAATTAAGATGGTAGGGAAGCAATATGGTACTTCTCAGCAACCAAGGGTGTCTGAACTTGTTTAAAATAAAAATTTTAGTCTTTAAAAATATAGAAATTTTAAAAAACAGCTTATTGAAAGAGAATTATCACATAATGTGTTTTGTCGTTGGGCTGCAGTGTCTTGCCAGGGTGATTTCTCCTGCACAGGAGGGGATAAGCCTCCTGAGAAAACAGTCTGAAATAATTAGTGAAGAAATAAAAGACAGAGTGAAAGAATAGGTTTAAGGCAGAGCACCTGATAGGCCTAGCCCACACAGGAGCTGGAGCTGCCAATTGAAAAATGGCTTGGATGGGTTATTTAAGAGGGTATATCAAAGGAAGGGATAAGGTTTCAGGGGTGGAATCTTGCTTCATGATGTCTTGCAGTCAACAGATTGATTGGCATGTTGGCAGGTTACACCCATCTCTAAGAGCTTGTGTGGCTACAGCAGGTCACCCCATCTCTGGTGCTATGTAGGACGTGGCAGAGCTGAATAGGACTCACATGTATCTGGGCAATCTTACCAGCACGATTGCCACTGGAAGTTCCCAAATACCAGATTTTCCTATTCAGTGGGTGTCCATGCACATTCGGTCCACACCACACATAATCCATGTAGGGCTCTTGACAGTATTTTAACCACTTAAAGTATGCAATATGGTGTTTTTAGTATATTTATCATTATCTAATTTAAAACATTTTCTTGCCTAAAGTTCTGATGCGAACCTCCAGTTAAATCCCTGTGTTGTCATTGAGGAAGATGACCACCAAGGTTGTCAAGAGCTTAGAAAGGGAAGAAGGAGATAACTATATGGGAAAACAGAAAAGCAGCAAAGCTTTGTAGGAACGGAATTCAGGTAGAGGCTTCCATGTAGCTAGGTAGACTGAGGACCTACTTTAAGCAGGCATGAATGTTGAACATGATTTTGAAAGAGGAGTCAAATACAACCTGGCAGCATCTTGTGGGTCATTCAGGAGACAAATGATGAATGCCTTTGGCAACTGGAAATATCAAGGTTTGAAAGAGGCAGGGAGGCCAGCATTAACTTGCTTGGCTGAGACCTCCTGTGCCAGAATAACCTGGAGCACAAGGCAGCTAGGTGAGTGGCCATGGGTAGACCCCTGTTAAAGCACATGTAATTCAGCTCTGATAAATTCAGCCAGTCTATAAAGGGTTAGTACAAAGGAACATTTGAAAGAAGAAAACAGTTACTATGGGCAAATTCAGTCTCAAAAGTTGCATATATGTTAGTCCTCCTGGACTTGAACTTTACTTAATAAGGGAGCCAGTTTCCAATAGATTCCTCTGTGTGTGTGTGTGTGTGTGTGTGTGTGTGTGTGTGTGCATGTGTGTGTGTGCATGCGTGTGCACGCACACACGCACATTTGTGTGTGTATTTTAAATTACAGAAATACACAGGGGCATTGTACCTCTTTTGTAATCTTAATGGCAATCTAGTAAATTTTACTCTATTAGGGTTGTGATTTCACAAAAACATCTTATAATTATATATCATAGAATGAATTGTTGATTTTCACCTGCATTAGAAGCCATCTGGTGTTAAGTGTCATTAATATTAATTATTGTCTTTCCTAGTCAGCTGAAGTTGAAAGCATCTGTTCCCATTAGAAACAGAGGCAGAGAATCAATCTGCCATGTGAAGTAAGGGGCTTTGTAAACAAAACTTTTGCTGCAGAGTCAAATGTAAAATTTGACTAATCAATATTTAAATGCTTAAAGGTAGTGCACATTTTCTAATTTGTAAAAATTTGGTTTACTTGCATTGGAAGTTATATGGTTAGCTGACTTCTCAGAATGGATTTTTACATCTTATTATTTTTATCTTTGCCAAACTGTCACTCTTTGACTAGTTCTACTTCACCATTTACCAGTTGTACATGGCTTTTGGGTGGGTTATTTAACAGCTATGATTTGGATTGTTTCCTCATTTCTAAATAATATACAAAGTGATTGTGAAGATTATATGGTGGTGCACAGTATCAACACCCATCCCCTGCATGTGGTTACAAACTATTCTCAACTGTATAGTAGCTCATGTTTTTATTAATGCTGAAATAAATCAGGAAATAAATGGACCAGAATTTGAAATTTATTGTTATTAAGCCAGAATTTTAAAAATCCAACCCTTGAAATGTAATGATGTTTCATCTTCTTAGAATCACTGAATTTTACATTGCCCTTCCAGAGGGAAGTTGAGAACCCATTATAGAGATAGTATGTAATTAACTTTTTTAGCTATTTAGGAAGTCCCAGCTGGAGTTGCCATTATTTTATAGATGGTAACAGAGGCCTTTGGGTGAAACGGCTGGTTAAAATTTATCATGATACTGTTATAAAGTGAATGTGAGAAAAGGGAGATACAAAAAAATATTGTTTATAATCATGTTGAGACATATAATTTTATAGTATTTTGTTAAGCATCCTTGTTCACTGGGCAATATACTCTTCCTAATACTTGAGGATAAAATTGAGGGACCTAAGGGCTTACAATACATAATTTTCTACTAACTAGAAATAATTGTGGAAAATTGCTTTTAATTTTGATTCTTCTGGTTCAGTAGTAGACTTCCTATGGCAGAAGTTGTTTTAAAGGATTATGAACATATTCAGCAGATTATTAGACATATGGGAGAAATGTTTAGTCTGATTTTCAAAAGCTATATTTTGTTATGAAAGAGTTTTTTTTTTTAATTTTTCTGTTTACATCAGAATACTTGTTTTCCCTGGAACATATCGATTTTGTTTTAGAATAGCTAATTCATTTGATATTTCTGGTTTCAAAGTGAGACTATCAAGTTTATGATAACAGCTTTTTGGGTTTGGCTGAGTTAGTTATTTTCTTATATCTTGTTTTGTGTGGGGTGAGTGCAGGTGTGGAGGAGGAGAAAGGATGGGGTTTAAAGGACTGTTCTCCCTGAGGGTAGAGGCTGTCTGAACCCTTAGGTTCAGAACACATGAAACAGGGCCTAGAAGCTCCAGAGAAAATAATTTAGCTATAGCTAGACAGACATCAAGTTATTGAAAAAGTCTCAGAGAGCAACAAATATTTGTGAACCATTAGGATTGAAATAGGAAGTCTTTTCTATTCATTTTGAAAAATGATCTTTTGCCATCACTGTGTGCAAAGTATGGTGTGATGTGCTGTGGCTAGAGGATAGGGAAAGTGCAGTGGAGGTCTCAGATGAGAAGATAAAATCACTGCACGGAAACCCACAGTTATTGAATAAGGTGAATGACTGGATAGAAGGGTAAGGACAATAATCAGGTTATCTATATTTTAAAAAGCGATTTCATCATGAGGAACTGCTGTGTATGTGGACCCTAAACTGTGTATGTAGCTTAGGGTAAAAACAATCATAAGGAATGGTCATTTCTCCACCAAACTGCTTTTTCTGTTATTTTGTCATTGATATTTTAGATTTTCTTCAGCTAGCCCTTCTATTCTGCCACTGTTTTCCCATTTCCTAGGCTCCAGTATAATGTTTTTGTGATAATGTATGCTTGCTTACTTTTTATAGACGCAGATAATGTACAAGTGGATAGAACCCAAAATCTGCAGGGAAGATCTCACCGATGCTATTAGATTGCCCCCTTCTGGAGAGAAGAAAGATTGTCCACCTTGCAACCCTGGATTTTATAACAATGGTTCATCTACTTGTCAACCCTGCCCTCCTGGGACCTTTTCAGATGGAACAAAGGGTAGGATGTCAGTGGTCCATGAGTTGAACCTGTAGCAAAATAAACTTGTTGGACTATTGTGACCTTATTCTAAATTGTTTTTATGGAAGAATTCTTTTAAGAGACAATTTTCTTATTGAGATAATAGCATTGTGAGACCACAATGACTTATTTAACATATGAAGTGATCTGTTTTAATGGCATGTTGTATGACACTCTCTCAATGGAATAAGTGTAAGTTATGTGTACACATACACTGCAGAACAGTATACCACTATGCAAGCAAAAATGCCAAATATATACACATACCAACACATTCTACCCAGAATTTTTTCCAGATCACTTTTTAAAATTTACCAATTTCTAAGGAAATTGATGGACCTATCTCTCCCCTTTCCACCTCCCTCTCTGCTAATTATGGTTTTGTGATGCTTAGAGGAATGAGAAAGTTGTCCAGATGCAGTTTAATTGTTTTTTTTTTTTTTTTTGCCCCACTTGTCTTCTGTAGAATGTAGACCATGTCCAGCGGGAACGGAGCCGGCACTTGGGTTTGAATATAAATGGTGGAATGTCCTTCCTGGCAACATGAAAACTTCCTGTTTCAATGTTGGGAACTCCAAGTGTGACGGAATGAATGGTGAGTTCAGAGACACCTTCTTGGCAGTAGATACCATTCTTTTATAGACTCAGCTCTTTAAAACATGCCAAATATAGGCACAAGGAACTTCAGTCTTATTCAGCTATGTGTCCATCTTCCAGGATTCACTTTAAAACAGTAAATACAGGCAGATGACCTTCCAGTAAAAAACATAAAATGCAGCAGTTACCCACTTTTCTGTACTTTTACTTTCTGCAGTTTCAGTTACCTGCAGTAAGCAGTTGTCTAAAAATATCAAGTGGAAAATTACAGAAATAAACAATTTGGGAGTTTTAAATTGCATGCTATTCTAAGTAGCTGATGAAGTCTCACACCATCATGCTGTGTCCCACCCAGGATGTGAATTATTCCTTTGTCTTGTTACAGTACTGTTCAGCTATACAGTCTGTCCACTGGTTACTTGGTAGCCATCATAGTTAACAGAGCCACTGTGCAGGTGCCACGTGTTTGTTCAAATAACTCTTTACGTAATATGGACAATTCAGGGATGCCAAAGAGAAGGTGCTGAGTAGTGATGCTGGCAGTTCAAATGTGCTTGAGAAAAGCCAGAAAGTGCTTCCTTTAGGTGAAAAGGTAAACATTCTCAACTAAGTAAGGAAAGAAAAATGTTGCATGCTGAGGTTGCTAAGATGTGAAATTGTGAAGGTAGAAAAAACTAAATTTGTTCTAGTATTGCTATTTTATTTCAAGCTGCAAAAATTACAGCTGCAGTGTATGATAAGTGCTCAGTTAAGATGGAAAGGCATTAAATTATGGTGCTCAGTTTTATCTGGTTTTAGACATCCACTGGGGTTCTTGGAACATGCCCTGAGCATGTATTAGTTTTGCATTTTTTGGAGTCAGTTTCAAAGTAGATATTGAAGATCACCATTTATGACTATAAATACCAGTATAGAATTGCCAACGTAACAAAATCTGTGTTGTTTACACTAAAGAGGAATATGTCAGCATCTCTGTCTTTGGCTCAATACTGTGCCATGGTAAAGGATTTATGATCTCAAATTCCCTTAACCATAGAGTCTGTGGGTGTGTTAATTAAATACGTATGATCCCCACTAATCAAAAACTTGAAAATGTGGCTGAGTTCTGTAGGACTGTTACTCAATATTATTGTTTCCATAGTGTTTGTTGGTTGAATGAATCACATTATCAACCTATGTATTTTTAAACTTGACACTAGAGACTGGTACTAAAAATACCAGGGCTTTACACTGAAATGCATTCTTTAATTTTATCAGTTCATTAGTATTTTTATCAGCTTTCCTTTTTCCATATTATACTTGTTTATTATGTAAACACACATACATGCACACTCACACAAGGCATACTTTTTAAATGCATATGCTTTAAGTTAGTACCTTGCCAAATAGACACATTTGGGATGTAGGAAGTGATATGTACACATGGATAGTGAGATTGGCAAATAATATGTCTTTAAATAATATTGATTAAACAGATGAGTGAAAGAGGGAAAGATAAGACCGTAATATATCAAATGTGAAATATTCCTCTTTTTAAACCAATAATCCCAGTTTTAGGAATTTATCCTGGAGGGGGGGGAATATCACAATTATTATCTGGCCATGAAGGTTTATGTTCCTAAAAATATGTGCTGTGATTGAATTCTAAGTATATGAAGTTAAAACCTATTGAAAAAATAAAATCGGGAGGACCAGAGTATTGAATGAACTATAAAAGGACTAAGATGTGTGTGTGTGTGTGTGTCTGTGTGTGTGTATTGTGTATTCACTTGGTGGATGAGATTACATGGAACTTTTATATGATCTTACCAAGGCTTTACTCTAGCTTTCTATGACAATATTGATTTACTTGCTTACTCTTTTACTTAAAAGTTATATTTTTTATATTTCCATTAAGTTTTAGAAATGTTAAATTATTTTAAAAACATGAAGCTCTGTTGTACTAGTGTGTGATAACGAAATAGTAAACAGTAAAGAACACAAAGATACAAGGTGGAGTATGTTTCTGTGCTGTCATAGCATCAACCTTGTGTGAGGAGCAGCACTCCGAGGAGGATCCAATGAGAGGTGGATAGCCTGCCTGGTGGGACAGTTGCTGTCCATGGTGATGGAGTTAGAATGGGTGTGGTTTGACCGACTTGACTGTGTGGCTTGGAATGCTTTGAGGCTCATCATTCTCAGTATGAATTCTGCATAGTTTTAGAACAGATATGGGGAAGTAAATTTTTGTGTATTGGAATTATGTTTAAAAGGAATTCCAGTGCAGTCATTATATGGATTCTATATAAAAAATAATTTTACAATCTGGTTCAAGAATTTTTAAATCCTATTTTCCAACTCAATAGTAACTTCTGGGGATTTATACCAAGGAAACAATGTGATGTAAAGAAAGAAATCATATCAAAAGATATTAATTTTAGTATTTATAAGAGGGAAAAGAGGCAAAAACTAAAATTTCAACAATGCAAGTGTGGCTAAATAAATTATGTAATAACCATCTAACATTATTAAGTTATGAAAACTAGGAGAGGATTTTTAATGAGGAAATATTTTTGATATAATGATTTGAATAGATAATGCTAAATGAAAAAAAATCAGAAAATAAAATGGATTATATAGTAAGTCTTAGATGTATTAAAGAAAAGTATACAATAGAAAAATCACTAAGAGAAACACCAAAATATTGAGGATATAACTTGGGGTGGGAAGTTTCTATGAAGTATGAAATTACTTCGTTTACTTTGCTACATTTGGTAAGTGTTCATCATGGACATATATTGCTTTCAGAATCAGAGTAACAGCAGGAGATATTGCTTGAAAAATATATCCATTTGACCCGACAATTTCTTTACTGAGATTCTTTTTCATAGAAATACCTAAGTACAGAAAAACCACCAAATGTATTCATTATATTATCATCTATACTAATTAAAGGCAAAAACAGTCTAAATGGCTAAAATGGATATGTGATCAACTTTGAATGATTTGGTAAATTGTGAAAAATCAATTTTACCTGTCTAGATCATAAAATGTTAATGTAGTTACTAACATATCCATGAAGTAAGTATACATAAAATACTTATGAAATGGTATTCATTTATAAAACGTGATATTCAAGGTTATCTGCGGTAGAGTTCAGGGGTATAAAAGCACACATGCACTGAAAGACAGTAAAAGAAACACCTCAATTGTTAATGCTGGTTGTTTCTGATAAGATTGTAAGTAATTTTAGGTTTCATCTTTTACATTTTTTGTAGCCTTAATATTTTTATAGGAAATATAAATATGGTTTTAAAAAACAAAAAATTCAAATATAAAGTGTATATAGAAAGATGGAAAGTGTGGAATTTACTTAGAAAAAACACAAAATTGCACATGTAAAAATGCACACACAGACAAAACCTGGAAGGGAATGTCTAAAAATTATAACAATTATTAGGGTGTTAGTTTAAAAGTAAATGGTTTTTAAACATTTTTTTAATTTGTTTTAACTAGTTATACATGACAGTAGAATGCATTTCTGTACTTTGATATATCATACATAGATAGGATATAATTTCTCATTTTTCTGAGTGTATATGTTACAGAATCATATTGGTCATGTAGTCACATATATACATACAGTAATAATGTATGTTTCATTCTATTATCTTTCCTATCCCCACATTCCCTTCCCTCCCCTCCCATCACTTCCCTCTGCCTAATAGAAGGTAATGCTATTCTTCCCTAGTGTCCCCCCCACCTTATTGTGAATTAGCATCCGTATATTAGAGAAAACATTTGGCCTTTGGTTTTGTGGGATTGGCTTATTTCGCTTAGCATGATATTCTCCAACTCCAACTATTTACTGACAAATGCCATAATTTCACTCTTCTTTAAGACTGAGTAATATTTCAAGTTTTTGAGATCATTTTAGCTGATAGTGTTCTACATAGTTGTGATGATTGCGAATGGATGAAATGACAACTATCTCACAGTAGAAGGCTAGTGCTTCCTAGGTTTCTGCCAATTTTGATCTGTCCTACTTTTCAGAGCTCTAGTTTAACATTCCTGAGTTGTGTTGTGCAACACAGTGACTATTAGCCCCATGTGGCCATTAAATACTTGAATTGTGACTAGTTCAAATTGATGTGTATTGCAAGTATAAAATAAGCATAAGTATATTCAGTGTTTCAGTATGAAAAAGGTGAAATGTCTGCTAATTCTTTATATTAATTACATTGGATCTCTTTATTTTCTGTCGTTGGTGTCTTTCTTGCTTAAATTGGTATGGGCATATTAGTTCCCCAGGGAACTGCCCAACAGAGTCCTCTGTCTGGATGGCTTAAAACAACAGAATTGTATTCTCAATATTTTGGAGGCCACACATCAAAGTTTTACTGGGTGATGTTCTCTGAAGCCTGGAGGGGAAGATCCCTTCTTGTCTTTTCCAGCTTCTCGTGACCCCAGGTGCTCTTTGGCTATGGCAGTTTAATTTAACTCTGACCTCTCTTCTTCATCTGGCCCTCCTCCTTCTCTGTGTTTGTCTGCGTCTTCACATGGTGTTGTCCCCTGTGTGTCTGTCTGTCCTTATTTCCCTCTTCTCCTGAGGACACCAGCTCTTTTGGCCCATCATAACCACTTCATTTTAACTTTGTTTCATCTGCCAAGCCTCTATTTCCAAATAAGGTCCTGTTCACAGGTATTGAGAGTTAGGATTCCAACAAATGTTTTCTGTGATTCAAACCATAGTAATAAATGTTCTGTTTGACCTACTGTTTGGCTAGAGTTTCCCTGAGAGTAGTAGCAGAGTTCTCACAAGGTAGTGCCCCAAACTATACTGACAGTGGGATCAGTTGGAATTCCAAAGAAAGAAGCTCTAAATATTAGGATGATCAGTCCAAAGCACTTTTTAGGGAAACTTACATACTGAGTGTTACAACATAACTTCCCAAAGGCACAGTGAGTTTGGAAGGTTCTACCTAGGTTTTTCTGCACTGAGGGTTAGGACAGAGTTTACAGGAGGGTTTGAGGAACTTGGCTTAGGGACAGGGCTGGTTTATTTCAGAGTTTTGAGCAACAGTGTAAACACTGTATCAGTGCTTGGGAATCGTCACCACCTCTGGATTGGTTTCAAGCTTGCTGGAAAAACATGCATCTGGCCAAGTCATGGGATATTCAAGGAATTCTGTATTTCTTGGTCAGTTCAGAGAGAACATGGAAAACCTGGAGGACTCTACAATAAGCAGTATTGAAACACAAGAGATGTTTCCTCTCACAGTTACAGTAATCCCTTCCAAATACTGTTCTCTTGATATGTCTTTTAATCCTTCCTTTTCTTTGTCCTTTCCTGCTCTTCTGTCCTTCTTCTTGGCATTTCTGAATGTTAGGAGGCATTCTTAGGAAGCATTTGTGAAGTCTTCCTTTCACCCTCACCACACAATAGCAGTAAACCTAAAAGCCTCTCATATTATCTCCACTGCAGCCATGGGTATCTCTTCCACTGGACCAGTTTGTTTCATGGTTATTTAACTCTTAGCATTAGGAGTTGATTTGCTTTTTTTTTTTTTCTTTTAACCACCTGAACCTTTAGATAGCAGAACAGAGAGCACTTAGAAGCAGTAGATTAGTATATATTATTTAAAAGACTAGTTTGATTGAGGTCTATTTAACATGATACCCTTCTATAACTTGATTGTTGATTATGTGTTTCAAAAACTACTGAATCACCAATCTAGCACTAGTATAAATCCTTAGTTTCTTTCTCTTACTTCTTGAAGTAGTGATTATTGACATTGATTACTATAAACTAGGATTTTCTATCTCAGTGTATTAGAATGAATAAAGACTGTTTAGTTTTTTTAAAATCATGCTTCAGTGAGAAAACTATTGTTGGTTTTACCATTAGATAATTTTATGCAGAACAGTACATTCATAAAATCTTTATTGGTATCTACAAGTTTCCCTATGTATGCAATTTACAATTGACTTAAAAACAGGTAATTCTTTTGGAGTATTTCTAACTTTGAACATAAACACTAATTCCCTTGTAACTTTTACCTTAAATAAAATGATTTTTGAGTATCATTAATGGAATTTTTACTAATAAAAATGACTTTTTTTAAATTCACAGGTTGGGAGGTGGCTGGAGATCATATCCAGAGTGGAGCTGGAGGTTCTGATAATGATTACCTGATCTTAAACTTGCATATTCCAGGATTTAAGTAAGGAAAACCAATTCTGATTCCTTTCTGTAAGAATCTTCACACCTGCTTCCCTCTAGAAATATGGCTGCCATTATTGCATATATTAGTTTGCAAATCTTAGTAAAAATAAGTTGTCACAGAATTATGTATTAAATTTAGGAATATCTGTAGAGTCAGTGACTGAGAAACTACAAATGTTTAGTTGTGTGTTACTGGAGTGAAGCTAAAAATGTTTAGAATAATACATCAAAAGCTATAATAACCATTATTCTTGGATGCTTAATGAAGAGTCTTAGCCTAAATTGTTTGCAGGAATATTTTTTGGTTTATTTATTTATTTTCTCAGTTCTACCTGTAAAGGAAGATGTTATAAATTGATTAATCTCATTTTGCTTTAGTCCCCCTTGTTGAGATTCCCTGTAGAGGTCTTTATTTTTTTAAATAATTTTTTATACCTTTACTTTATTTATTGATTTTTATGTGGTGCTGGGTTGAACCCAGGGCCTCGCACGTGCTAGGTGAGCGCTGTACCGCTGAGCCACAATCCCAGCCCTAAGAGGTCTTTATTCTTGCTTTAGGATCAGTGGGAGCATAGATAGCAGGAGATGCAGGCATATTTTCATGGCTGTGTAGACTTCACCTTAGAACGAGGTGGGTGGACTTGCAGAATCTGAGTGAGGAAGAAGTTGTGCTTTGGACGGCGCTATAGAATAGGGAAAGAGAAGAACTACGTAGTTTTCAACTTAACAGGAAAAGTTGCTTACTTTTGTTGTAAAATTATATTTAGGACATAATGTAAATATTGCAATTTTAATCTGTCAAATAGACCACCAACATCTATGACTGGAGCCACAGGTTCTGAACTAGGAAGAATAACCTTTGTCTTTGAGACCCTCTGTTCCGCAGACTGTGTCCTGTACTTCATGGTGGTAAGTCTAAGAGAAGCTTTCAAAGGCAAATTTCAGAATTTATCATTCATTCTTTCAAGTATGAATTTCCTTATGCAAGTTGGAATGAGAATCCTATTGTTCTGGATATTCTTAGAAGTTTCTAGAAAACATTTAAACATGTTTAAGGAAGTCATTAAGAATTGTGCAAAAATAGAAATGAATTACAGTAGATGGGATAGAGAGAGAAGAGGGGAAGGGAGGGGAGGGAAGGGGGGATAGTAGAGGATAGGAAAGGCAGCAGAATACAACAGACACACTAGTATGGCAATATGTAAATCAGTGGATGTGTAACCGATGTGATTCTGCAATCTGTATACGGGGTAAAGATGGGAGTTCATAACCTACTTGAATCAAAGTGTGAAATATGATATGTCAAGAACTATGTAATGTTTTGAACAACCAACAATAAAAATTTTTTAAAAAGTAATATATGGAAAAAAAAAGAAAACATTTATTCCTCCTGGGGAGAAATAAGTGAAGAGGCCCAGGTGACTGATAAAGTCCAGGGAATATTAACCTGTAGAAAATTCCTTTGTAAAAATATGCACCAGCAGAATGAAAATTCTCCCTTAATTACCAGTCAGCAATTTAAACTCTTAGGAAGGAGAAGTGTATTAATAAGTAAGAGCAGAAAATAATGAAGGTGTGGAGCATTGGGAAAAAAGAAAATTTTTCTTATTAAATTTAACACATTTAGAAAAAGGACTTTATTATCCACATGTCATAATTTTGCCTGTTTCTTTTCTTACTCCCAGCTTGAGAAAAGTAACAATTCAAAACTCACCAAGACCTCAAATGGATTTTAGGAAATTGCTGGCTAAGATTTTAACATTACTTTTTTGGGGCAGTACTGGCAATTAAACATAGGAGCTTGTAACCACTGAGCAACACCCTCAGTGATTTTCATTTTTTTATTTTGAGGTAGGGTCTTGCTAAATTGCCAAGGATGATCTCATTTGCAAGCCTCCTGCCTCAGCCTCTCAAGTTGCGGGATTACATCTGTGCATCATGGCATCTGGCTTAACAGTACATTTAAATA